CTCCTTCGGAGATGTACTTGACATTGTGAGATCGACATCTGGGAGATTGTGAGACTTGGTATTCACGACATTTCGGATTTTCGTCACTTCTGACAGTTCAAGTTACTATCTTTGGAAACATTGAGTTGACATCATCTCCCCTCTCCTCCTCCTTCGTCTCTCTCCTCTCCCCCCATTCTTCCGTGTATGATTCCAGTCCCTGGCCCTTCGTCTCTTCTCAAGGCCAGGGCATTCACACCCGATGAATGTATGAGAGTTGTTCGATTGCAGTCCGAGTCAGGTCTGAGTCAATCCAAAGGTATCATACCCTTCCGCTGTATTTGTATCAACTCTGTATCATCTGGTCGGTTCTGGGAATCTGCGCCATACTTATGACCGTGTTTCACAAGTATGCAACAGTTTGGTATCGGAGCAGACCAGTATTGGATTACTCACCATTAATTGATTGATTGATTGATTGATTGAATGATTATCTTTTCCTGCACTCTGTTATCATTAAAATCGCAAGTTGCAATTTTTCTATTTTCGAAGGATTAGGATGTTCAAATTTCGGTTTTGCGACTTTTCTCAATCTTGCGCAATTAGGAATTACCAATTACGGGTAAACCTAATTAGCACTAATTAGGGTTAGTCCTAATCGAAAATTTAGGTTTTGCAATTTTTCCCGAATTACGCAGTTAGGAATTCCTAATTACGGGTAAAACCTAATTGGCGCTAATTAGGGTTAGTCCTAACAACCTACCTAACCTACCGAGAGTAAGAGCCAGCCAGGCACCGCGCCAAGCAAGGCTGACCGGGCCCGAGCTAGGCCATATGCGAACTGCAACTTCATGGAACTTTCACTTTTTGCAAACTGCATCTTTTGCGATCGAAAGATTGAATCTTTCCAGCGAATTGTGTATCTTCCTGCTTCATCTCTCCTATATGAGTGACCTCGTAATGATGCTACAAACTTCCGACGAACTTTTGTGAAATTTTCAAAAGTTATGTCTAAATGTTTAAACTTGCTTAAACTTATTTATTTCTTTTATTGATGCAAATCTAAAATATTTCGATTTCATATTTAACCTTTGTGAAATAAACGTTGCAAAGWTAAATATTTCGTTAATATTAAATCTTTTGCCAAAATTAAATTTTATTAATTCCTATTTTTTTCGATTAAAATTTTATTTAATTTCCCAAAATTCGAAAATTTGTTCGGGGGGGAATTTTTTTCCCCCCTTTGATTAGTACCAGACTTCGAGGTCAGGGGACACGGGGACTGTCTGTGCATTGTGTGCCTCTCTGCCCCTCCTCCCCWCCCAACCTTCTCTTCTCCTCGGTTCTACAAACTGTAGTCTCCGGACACGTCAGCAGAGGTGCCACATCAGCAGAGTGACAGGTCAGTACAGTGACACATCAGCAGAGGGACACGCAAGTGCCACGTCAGCAGAGTGCCACGTCAGTACATTGCCACGTCAGCAGAGTGCCACGTCAACAGCAACGTGCAGCCGGACACTAAATGCGCCGCAGCCTACGATTGGCAGAACGCGAGTCCAAGGCAGCCAAGCCCCAACCGGGACCCAAGGCACCGCGAATCCCGCGCAAGCGACGCACGACCATGGCTGCCACCTCTGACAAGAGTGCACCAACCAGCCCCAAGAGGCCGGTTCCACCTCCTCTCCCAGTTCAGCAGGCCGATGAACCGCTTCTAGCGTTCCTAGACCGTCTCCATAAGTATTCCGAGACGACGACCGCTGAACTACGCAAGTGGGAAGAAGAGGAAGCCGCCCGCCAGCAGGAGATTCAACGCCAGTTGGCAGAGGCAGAGGCAGCACGTCAGCAGGCCGCAGCAGAAGCTGCAGCAGCCGCACTGTTGCAACAGCAGCAGGTCGAGGCAGATCAGAACCAGGCTCGTTACCAAGCCATTATGGATCTGACTCGCGATGAAGCCACCTATGGCAGGCTACTTCGCCGACAACATTTCCACGAAACCAAAGAACGGCAAGAGCCAACCACGGAGGAAGCAGATAAAGAAGGAATAGCAGTTCTGATGGAGAATCTGCTGTACACATGCAATTGGCAGCAAYGCGAACTGCTCGCCACGCGGCAGGTTCTCATCCACCATGAAACAACACTCAAGGCAATGGATAACAGGATCACGTCGCTGCAGGCCGAGAACAGGACGCTACATGCCGCCAACAGCCAGCAGCAGACACTCAACCACCAGCTGCAGGCCGATGTCAGCAACGGGTTGGCACAGCTGTCAGCAGCTGCGTCAACGGGCAGTGCAGCAGTCGACTGCAGCCCAGCTTTGACCGCACAGGCAAAGCAATTGGAAGAGCGGGTCAATCATTTAGTCGCWTCCCTGGGCGACATCAGCAAGTTTGCAGGAGCCTCTACAGTCAGCAATCAGCTGCAGACGCTTAGCGACCGCGTTGACCAACGTCCGGTCGCCGTCGCCAAGGAATGGAAGATGCCGAACTTCAAAATCGAGAAGTTTGATGACTATCACAAGACCAATCCGCTGCAATGGTGGATGGCATTCAACGCAGAGGCCGACGTGCATCATACTCCGCCCCTACGGCGGCTGGATGCATTATACCTCCAACTTATAGGCGGAGCGCAAGCATTCATGACACACATGGCCGCGACACTTGAGTCTACCATCGCCACTTTCCACACGAAGATCACGTGGGAGGAGTTTGAGAAGAAATGGAAGACCCGGTTCATGGTGAACAATGACAAGCGTCACGCCTTGAACAAGATCTTCCACATCTTCCAAGGCCAGCAACCTTCGCGGGAATGGCCGACGGAGTGGCAAAGACTCGTCGCCACCCCGGAGTTGAACCTACAGTTCGACTCGATCCGAGGCGAATTCTTCGCCCGATCCTGCGATGCCTTGACTGCTGCTCTCGGCAGCGAATACGAGTATAAGAACTTTGACGACATGATCGCCAATGCCAGAGAGCTTATACAAGGTAACCGGCGTGCGGCTAAGGAGACTCGTCAGCAGCCCGGTTACGTGGAGAAAAGAAAAGGTCAACAGACGCCGCAAGTAGCAGCAGTCCAGCAAGGACAAAGTGAGGACCACGCAGCCGCTTCGACATCAAGTGACGGAGATGTGGCGGCAGCGATACCACCGCAACGCTCAAAACCCCGAGGGGGAAAACAGAAGGCGAAACTAGCGTCGGCGGATGGAGCACGATAGGCACCATGGACGAAGTTCGGGATTACCGAGGACATGTTCAAGTTGCGACGGAAATGGGGATGCTGTTTGTGGTGCAATAGCACCAAGCACATCACCAGTGCATGCCTCGACAAGGACAAAGAAAATGTCAAGCGTCCTGGCTCGGGAAACTGAGCACCGCGGGAAGTGTAGCGACAACACTTCCCAGTCCGCCGGAGTCGGCTGCCTTGCTAGCAGCCTCTCTCACATCCGGGGACACCGCGGCAGTCGCAAGTTCTCACGTTGAGTATGAGAACTATGCTGTCGAGCTTGTCCCACCGTTGAACCAGCCTCTCCACGTGCAAGATTCAAGCGTATGCGCGGCAGTTCAACCGTGGGACAATGAACCGGTGGCTTCGCCAGCCATCTTATCGGAGGATCCGTCAACTTGGGCGAGACTTGAGGATCTCGACCCGTTGACGGTTGAGGACTTCCAATGGTTGCCTCTGCCCTCCACCGGTTCTTTGCCAACTCCGCATTGCAATGCCTTAATGGCACATCTACGCAAATACTTGCACGCTGCAGTACCACCTCCGTCGACGGACGGCGGAGTAGCGGGTTTTGACCTTTGCAACTTTCTTGCGAAGATCGACCGCGAGTACGCAACGCAACGGTACGTCGACACCGACGCACCGCTCCTCTACATCCGCATTCAGATCGGGAAGGCGACCTGCAGTGCCTTGATCGATTGTGGACCGACTCGCAACTACATCAGCCAAGACTTCATGGCACGCGCCGGGCTAGGTCCGCACGTTCGAAGGAAAAGTCAGCCTACGCACGTCACGTTGGCCGATGGTCACACGCAAAAGTCAATCGACCGATGCGTTGACTCGGTGCCCGTGTGCTTYGCCCCGCTAGCAAGCGAGGCCGTGTCCTTCGACATATTGGACACCAAGTTCGATATGATCCTAGGCATGTCGTGGCTGCAAAGCGAAGACCATCYGGTGAACTTCCATCGCCGCACCGTTCACGTTCGTGATCGGCATGGTGAACTAGTCCCGTGTACGGTGCCGCTTCCTCATCCTTCGATTGGTTGTCACGTGGTATCCGCGGCGAGCATTCGCCAATCCATCCGGCGAAACGACATCGAGGAGATGGGCATATGTTTTCTTCACGCCCTCCCTCCCGGTGATCAGCCCAAGACGGATACGTCGGACCCACGCATCATTGAACTGTTCGACAACTATGGGGATGTCTTTCAAGCTCCCGCCAGAGTCATACCGGATCGGCCCATACGTCACGGGATCACTCTCGAGGACGGCGTCGTACCTCCGCGCGGATGTATCTACCGCATGAGCGAAGAGGAACTTCAAGTGCTTCGAGCACAACTAGACGACCTCTTGGCCAAGGGCTGGATTCGCCCTAGCTGCTTGCCATACGGTGCTCCTGTTCTCTTCGTCCGGAAGGAGAACAAGGACCTTCGGTTGTGCATCGACTATCGTAAGCTCAACGCACAAATGATCAAGAACGCCAGCCCTCTCCCTCGGATCGATGATCTTCTCGAGCGACTCGGCGGCGCCAAGTATTTCTCAAAGCTTAACCTCAAGTCCGATTATCACCAGATCGAGATTCAGCCAAGAGATCGGTACAAAACCGTGTTCAAGACGCGGAATGGGCACTTTGAGTGGATCGTCATGCCTTTCGGTCTCACCAATGCCTCGGCTACTTTCCAAGCGGCTATGACGACGAAATTCCGCGACTTACTCGACCGCTCCATACTCATTTACCTCGAYGACATCTTGGTTTATAGTTGGTCGCTGGACGAGCATCTCGAGCACCTTCGCGCCGTATTGGAGCGGCTTCGTATCGCCAAGTACAAGGCAAACCGCGACAAGTGCGAGTTTGCCCAGCAAGAGCTGGAGTACTTGGGCCATTACKTCACGCCGCAAGGCATTCGTCCGCTCGCGGACAAGTTACAAGCTATTSAAGATTGGTCGGACCTCAAGTGTACTACGGACGTCCGCTCCTTTCTCTTGGCATCGTACTACATGCGCTTTGTCAAAGGATTTCAACGCATCGCTGCACCATTGTCGCGACTCCAGTCCCCGTTGGTGCCTTTCGAATTCAACGACGAGGCCCGGCATGCGTTTCACACACTGAAGACGGCCTTGCTTCAAGCTCYYGTCTTAAGCATCTATGACCCGACGTTGCCTACCAAAGTGACTACGGACGCTTCCGGTTACGGCATTGGCGCGGTCTTGGAACGGCATGACGGCACAGACTGGCATCCGATTGAGTACTTCAGCCAAAAGGTGCCGCCCATCAACACTCTTGATGATGCGAGGAAGAAGGAACTCCTAACTTTTGTCAGCGTACTTAAGCGTTGGCGTCACTTTCTCCTCGGGCGTCGGCGATTCACGTGGGCAATGGACAACAATCCATTGACATATTACAAGACGCAAGACACGGTGAGCAGCACGATCGGTCGGTGGATGTACTTCATTGACCAATTCGACTTCACCTCCAAGCACATTCCGGGCTCCTCGAACAAGGCGGCGGATGCTCTCTCGCGAAGACCCGATCTTTGCGCCATGGTGCATTCCACGTTCGGCCTCGATGAGGACCTCCAACAACATTTCGTAAATGGCTACAAGTCAGATCCGGGATTCTCCACACTCTACGCGGACTTATCATCGGACCAACCGCCGACAAGCAACTATCGCATCACCGATGGCTACTTGCTCTTACATACGCGAGGCAAGGACTTGTTGTGTGTTCCCCAAGACCGCATCTTGCGCACTCGCCTCCTTGGCGAATACCATGATTCGCGGCTGGCAGGACACCTTGGCGTCGAACGCACACTCGCACGACTCCGCCAGCGTTTCCACTGGCCGGACATCATTAGCGACGTCAACCGGTACATTCAGTCATGTGCAGTTTGCCACCGGAACAAAGGGCGCCATCAGCTCYCGTACGGCGAACTGAAACCATTGTCGATTCCTCGGGCACCGGGTCTCTCCATTGCTATGGATGTGACCGGTCCTTTCCCTCGCGATCGCCTTGGTCATGATGGCATTCTCACGGTCGTTGACCGTTTGAGCAAGTACGCTCGATTTCTTCCATGCAAGTATCATGCGACGGCTCCCGAGCTCGCACAACTTTTGCATACCAGCTGGTTTTGCGGCCACGGCGTTTCGGAAGACATCGTCAGCGACCGCGACACTCGTTTCATGTCGGCCTTTTGGACGGCACTCATGGTGGAATCCGGCACCAGCATGAAACCGAGCTCCGCACGGCATCCTCAAATGGATGGGCAAACGGAACGTGCGCATCAGACTGCGCAGATGATGCTCCGCACACTCATCCGCCCGGATCAGAAGGACTGGGTTGACCGCCTTCCCGACATCGAGTTCGCCTACAACACTTCGGTGCACCCGGCGATTGGCGTGACTCCATTCGAGTTGCACCACGGTGGACGGAAAGGACGTATCTTCACAAGCATTTTGCTTCCACGGGCTGCCGATATAGACGCCGCTTGCTCCCCTGCTTCTACACGGAAGTACAAGGAACTGCTGGCCAAAGCCCGCGCAAACATGCAAAAGGCCCAGGTCCATATGCAGCAGCAAGCGAACCGGCATCGCATCCCATGTCCACTTCGCGTTGGCGACCTAGTCTGGGTCGCCTCCGAGGAATTTGCGCTTGAGCAGGACGTCTCGCGCAAGTTCCTCCCGAAGTGGTTTGGACCATGGATGGTCACTTCAGCAGCTAGCGACGACCCCGCGGGTCCATCATTCATCGTTGAGATTTCCCCGCATTTGACGGTCCACCCAATCTTTCACGCCTCAAAGCTGGCAGTTTACACTCCAGCCTCCGCAGCGGACTTCCCGGGTAGACGGTCACAGGACCCTCCTTCAATGGATGGTCATCAGGAGGTCGACCACGTTCTCACGCATCGCAAGCATGGCAACAAGCCGATGCAGTACAAAGTTACATTCAAGCAATGCAATCGGAACGACACACGCTGGATCTCAAGAGCTGATCTGAAGGCGACAACACCCCTCATGTTCGCGCATTACGAAAAACAGCGACTTGCTAAGGAAGCTGCCCAACCTGCCCGCCCTGTACGGACATCGGACAGACAGCTTCGCCCTCGCAGTTAGCTCGGTCTTTCAAGGGGGGGAGTGTGTGGCATACTAAGCCACACGGGGCCCAGTTAGGGCCCGGTTCCCAGTAGGCAGGGTAGGCCTAGGGGGACGACGGTTCAGGCTAAGACCAAATAGGCCTGAGGTAAGGCACGATAGGCCCAAACGGCCAGAGGCCGGTACCGGTCCAGCCCAGGACCAACCGGCGGCGTTTCAGAGGCTGCCACATTTGGCGCCAAACCCA